AAGATATAACTAGTATGTATCATCAATCGAAAGAGAAATGCTTGGCGGCAGAAGGTTAAGAAGATCGAAAAAAAGAGAATGTGAACAGAGAATGATTAGTGTGAAAACAAAGGGAGAATGAAGTCTGAGACGATTGATTAACATTATGCAAATGAAGTATTTATTGCATGGTTCTTAGATTTTACTAAGATATTCTGTAATTTTGTGTTCAAATACATTTGGTTGTCCCCATCTGTGTTCTTGTTCACCACATAAAAATTCACTGCAACACTCTGAGAACACTGTTTTATGAAAGAACTCTTTAGGTTTATGTCACTACATTTAATAAATACCATGCGTATCGAACTTCGGTTTGGTAATATTTCGAAATTTCGGCATGTTTGTATTATACATATTGATAAGTGTTTACATAATTTCGAGCTTCAGTTGGAATTTTCGGAAGGCTTCCAACGTTTTAAAAACTTCAATCATTTCATGTCTATGTTTGATAACTTGGACGTTTGTGACATTTAGCGGTACTCTAATACATGTAGTTACTTAGTAGATTATCAATGAAGATTCTATCATTTAGATTGAATTGAGGTTATTTTAAGAATTATAAATTACAGATTTATAGTTGAAATCATGAGTCAATTGAAGCAAGACCACCATGGAAAACCTGGGAGCACTGGACAGCCGTTTTGTCCCATTGCGGGACTCCTCAGCAGTGCGCATCCACAAAACCCCCCTTCTAATACTAATCATATGCTCACGAGTGACTCGCTCCAATAGGTATTTCCTGGAGTTCTATTGATAAGCAGTGATCAGTGGAGTTCAACCAGGTCTATTGTGAGATAATAACTCACTGAATGCAATGGCGGACGGTTGTTTAATTTCGAGGATTCGTTGAAGTTAGACATTAACATCGTTGGATGTCGACTCAGTGATCTAGAGTTTAGGCGCTCGAGACCGGTAGGTACTGAGTTCGAATCCATCGAGGCGGGATCGTAGATGCGTACTGTTGAGGAGTCCTATAATAGGACGAAACGGCCTCCCAGTGCTTCCAGGTTTTGTATGGTGGTCTAGCTTCAAATGACTCATGACCTCAACTATAAAATCACTAAAATCTCCACAAAACATATTTATGTTGTTTTGTTTTTTTGACCTGTGTTTATCAAGATTCTTTTTCGACTTGTGTTGACGTGTTGAACATTATTTATATAGGTGAAAATTCGATACCCATTGTTTATTTATTTTGCATATTAATTAAAATTATATTGTTATCTAATTACTATTGGTCTAATCTATGTTTGCAGATGTCGATAACCCGGTTGTGGTCCAAAATAGGGCAAAACTCGCCTGCTGGATACCACTGCTAGCTACCATCCATCTTTACTTGTAAATAAGATTTTTCGTTAACTTTTTAGCACTCAGTCGTCAAAGTTCGTTGACTAAACATTCTCTGTTTTCTTTTTTCTCTCTTAGGATTTTTACACTAAATAATTTGATTTTTAAGTGAAAAATAATTAGTAAACAAAACTATTCACTACTTAATGCTTCTAACCACCGTCTTATCTCAGTATAGTACACGCAATGCCGAGTCACTTAGACTAGTGGCCACATTGCAACTTGGTCGATAGGATTCGATCTGCACTAAGAAGGACCTGACATACATGATATTGATTACTACTCATTAAGCAATCAATTAGTAATTTATATTTTTCTAACATTTAAAGTCACTGTTTTTAAAAAAGGATTCGTTCTTGTTTAAGTAATCAACACCTTTTGTAAATTGTTTTAATAAAGTCATCTGAATAATCTTTCATTATATATATCGGAATATTTGTTAATTCTTCCACTACTAAAACACATTCAAATTCCAGGTAAACATGAAATATCCTCAAGAATATTAGAACATTTTGTGATCATTTAACCATTTGAAACATTTTCAGGTAAGCTTCAATTAATTTACAAAGAAAATTTATTAATGGAAGAACTAAATGTTTAATGTTACGCAATTGACTATTTATTATGACTCCAAACAATCAATTTTACTTTACTTAGTATTGTTTGTTTGAATCTTCCCATTGATGTTTAGGGCTGCAACTGTTCAGTCTCTTATTGGCATATGTGCATACTGTGCGTATTGCCTCGATATTGCCTTAATTCACAAGTATTATAAGATTGATAGTGGTCAGCAGTGGAATCCAGGACGCGTGTTTCGTCCTATTTGGGACTTGTCAGCTGGATGTACCTGCATCTCAGAGTTGATGTTCACTCTGGGACTCGAACCTAGTAACTTTCGCTTCAAACGCCATTGAGTTATCCACTCAGCTACTAAGTCCTATTTTACTTTCAATATTTCACTAAAGGGGAATGTAAAACTTAGAATAAGATCAAATCTTCATGATTTGAATTTATTGATTAGACTTTCTATTTGTTGAAGATATTTTAATCGTTGAGATCGTGAATCAATTGAGGCTAGACCACCATCGAAAACTTCGAACCACTTGATAGCCTTTTCATCCTATTGTAGGACTCCTCAGCAGTGCGCATTCACGGTCCCGCCTAGCGAGATTCGAATACAGGATCTATCAGTTTCGCACTTAACCTCTAGACTACAGAGCTGGCATCCAACGGTGTTAATATCTAACTTAAATGATGAGATCAAATGAAAAATTTTCCTGGCTCAGACATCGAGCTCTCACTTGATGAAATTAACTGGATTCATATTAGTTTGTTGCTCATAATCTTTTCTCACATATTTCATAAAATTTCGCTGAATATTGAATAGTTTATAAATTGATTCTATTTTTCTATTCTATTTTTATTACATCATATATCATCATCACTTTCAACCGACTTGTCATTTTTGTAGTTTTTGTTCATTTTTATTTGTGTTATTATCAAGCTTTGATAACTTGAACTGATTCATATTCTTGTTGAAGATACCCAGAAAATTCTCGAAAAAAGCCAAAAGGGGTCCTGTAAACACTGAGAAACATTTCATCCAATCAGTATTTAATAAAAGTCCCTCAGAGAAATCTAGAAATTGGAGATCGATGGATGATTACTTACCCTGCTACTATGCTTAGTAGGGTTCTATAACCTTCCAAAAGCTCAAGGCCACCTGAAATGCTATAAATACTCTCGAGTTTTTGTACATAAACGAACTTTAGACTAAAGCGTTCTTTCCATATTTCGCACCTTTTCTCTTGTGTTCAAGTTGTCGTGTAGATTAACCTAGGGTATTAGAAAAACTTAGGACAACTATTCAAACGTTCAGTCAGAAGATTAATGAATTTTGTAAAAAGATTTTAATCTTTATGCTATTAAGTCTTATTTTATAGCATTCATCTACGAAGTTTGTTGTTATTTTTTAAGGATTAAAAACAGATTTGATTAAGTCACAGTGTAATGACGATCATACTCAGACGTTGTTCCAATAGAATACGATAATCCTAGAAAAAGACTGATGCAAACGTTGAGTATCATTTTTAATCAGCTTCTACAATTATTTACCAAAGCACTTCGCCAACGTCAAAGATTTTCAATGAGTGTTTCAATAATCAAATCATTTATATTCACAGAGTATGTTATACAAGGAACATGATAACTCTTACATTTACTAGAATAAATAGGATAAAACCTTATCGCTGATATATTAGCAAATACTTTAGCATGATTCATACAGTTTGTACATATTTTAAATCCAACTTTATTTGTGAAATAAGTGTAGTTGACTTGCTTTGTATAACAGTAAGAATGAGATCTTTGAGCTAGGGATACGGCATCTTGTCAACTTATCATTTAGTATCTACTTGTTCCCTTCAATAGATTTCCTCGTTCCATTATTTTTCAGTCATCAGATAGAAAAAACATTATAGTGAATTTGTGGAAATCGTTGAATTTTATAGTTAACATCAAAGATTGACTATTGTTAAACAACCTGTGAAAACCAGGAAGCACTGAACAATGGTTTTATCTCGGTAGTGGACTTTCACAACTCTAAATGGGATCGAAGGCGTAGCTGTCAGGTCTCATGATTAGCGCGTAACTCTTAAATCAATTAGTTGACATCCGCTGGTTTATATATGTAACTTTATTCAGTACGTGATATTTAACAACCGTCTTCCAATATCATTGAATAGTAGTCACACATGCTAAATGAACTAAACATCGATAGTTACAGCTTCTTACCAAAATTAGGAGTAGCCTCTCAAAATCAGTTACTAGTAAGTACAAGAGAATTATCAGCCTAGGGGTTTATAGAGATCGTTATCATGAATGAATACTCAAATTCAAGACCTGATGAAACAGTAACTGCTTCCATTCCACTGTAACCAACTTTGAATGATGTCATTTAACATTATCAACCAATGATTATAATCGAGGCTCCAACCAAATAATCTACGTCTTCCAACACGTACCAAATCTATAAACAATGACTTCATGGACTGATGTCACATCTTGAATAAGTTGTCACTGTACATATTTTAAAAAAAGAAATATATTTTTACAGTGATGTGTAGGCGAGAATGATAATGATTGGTTGTTTTGCTGAGTCAGACATGTAGACAGTGTGACAGGCGTTATACGTGCTGTATATTCCCCTATCCTTATTATTATAGATTGACTATTCTCTGTTGTTGGATTGTATCGAATTTTGGTATGGAAATATATTGACGTTCTAGTCAGGATAATCTCGTGTTCTTGATCTGAGTGTTGTGTTGAAGTCCTGTAGAATAAACGACACTGGGAAGGAATCTAGTGTAGATATTTGTATAAGGTAAATTAACGTCCCAAATACGTGTAAAAAGTGAAAGAACTGTTATAACATTAAACCCTAGCCTTATAACAAGTATCCTACCGTTTATAACATACAGCTACGAGCATTACACTAAAAACAAATTATATTGAAACTAAAGTATGGTGAAAAAAATTACTTTTCAGTTTATCTGAAACATTCAATAATGTATTATTCTATTAAATGTTTACAAGAAACAACAACTACAACAACCCATTTTCTTATCTTTCTTGATTTCATTCGATTGGTTGGTTTTCTCACTAGCTAATTTAAGTTTTCTATAAAATAAAAAAACATACAGATTAGTAACAATTAATTTCTATGGGTTCGTTTTTTTGAATGTACTCCAAAAGAATTTGATTGTTATTAGTAGATTTATTTCATGCTGAAAGTGGTTTACGTCAAGATTTTAGATTAGCTCAAAAATCATAGAACTCTGCATGGAGCCCCTCTAGGGTTACTACCAGTCCCAAGCTCGGATGAAGGAGGAGGGTTGAGCATGGGGTTAGTGATATTTTCCCGAAAAAATCTAACTCGCTAAAACAAAACGTTAACCAGAAAAACTAATAATCAAAAATCATAGAGGATCAGTAGGCACTGGACAGACCTTATATCTTAGTCTAGGACTCTTTAACAGTGTATAGCGTTAGTCTCACTAATAATCTATGTTAGTACGTTCAAATGCCATGTTGAACGCTTTAAATCTAGATTTATAAGTTAATATTCAATAATTGACTATTCTTAAGTCAATCAATTCGAATTATTATTTGAAGGTATTCAATTGGACTACTGGAAGACTCATCAATAGGAGCTGTTGAAAAGTCTCATATTGATCGACTAGTGGGTTTTCGATTTTATTGTTTTTCGGGTTAAATTGATTAGTAATAAAAGCTAAAAAATTAATCAATTTTAACAAACCGGTGAGACTATAAATTATGAACTAACCATTCACATTTAGGATAATACGTCTTGGATTTTGACGCGAAATTCACTCACCCATTTCGCCAAATAACTTCTTGGCATTTTGGCTGATATCAGTTCATGATGAAAAACCATGAATATAAATCCTAATCCTAACCATCAACTGTGAATCATAATCCATATTCTTCAAACTGCTTTATAATCCTCATTTAGCCCTAGTAAGTAGGTAGACACTCTCTAGATCACTTTGGTGTTGTTCAAAGGTCGTCCAAAAATAGAAGTCTCACCTCCATAGTTCGTAAATAAATTTATACACTGACTGAATGTATGATATTTTCTTTATGTAACATCATGTTTACTTGATGACCTAAAAGTTGATTTAACTTGACAGTTATCCTAAAATGTGCATACAGATATGCATATACCTGGAAGTTTTAAGCATAAAGGGTTATTTTGATAATGATTTGTGTTGTATCCCGTGGGAAATTATGAATGGTGACTTTGAGAACTATTTATGGACCAATATGATATGTATATTTCCTATTGTATAATTGTTAAGTAACTCAACTATTCATATTCATGTTCCTTCTATTATGAGCTTCATTCTGACCTCTAGACTATTATTATACGATTTACCATTCTTGGGTTATCCTTAGTCCATTAATTACTGTTCCCCTTATTCACAGCCACATTTGGCTAAATCTTGTACAAATGTTATTTTCTATTTAATGGTACGATGTGGTGTGTCTGTTTGATTGATATATAAACTCAGTAGGTTTGAGAATAATGATTCATATTGCAGACGCTGTTATTGGTGTTCTGGACATAACTGACTGGTCTAGGCAGAAAGCAGGACTGATAAGTACTCAAGACTGCTCATACGATTTCGTGTATCATACAACGATCAATAAATTCGCTGCTCTCCAATTGGTGGTCGTATAACGTCATATATTAACTGGGCACTCACTCAATCGATATAACAATTTTTTATACTGTACATTTGGCTTTTAGATAACAGACCATAAACAAATAGTGAATAAACAATGAATTCTTATCTAATATATGATATAAGAGCGTTTTATATGTCATGTTATTTAATTTATCGTAATATAAGAAGGTTTGTTGGTGAGACGATAGCTTATGGACGACCTTTGAGCGACACCAAAGTGATCTAGAGAGTGTCTACCTACTTACTAGGGCTAAATGAGGATTATAAAGCAGTTTGAAGAATATGGATTATGATTCACAGTTGATGGTTAGGATTAGGATTTATATTCATGGTTTTTCATCATGAACTGATATCAGCCAAAATGCCAAGAAGTTATTTGGCGAAATGGGTGAGTGAATTTCGCGTCAAAATCCAAGATGTATTATCCTAAATCTGATTGGTTCTTCCATAAATTATAGTCTCGCCATCATGAAAGATTTGAAGATTAATGTCTAATAGTGTATTTATTTTGTTATTATTTTCTTTCTTGTAAAAAGATCGAATGTTTTTTTACTTATACTTCAAATTACCTTAAGAATACGTCTATAGCCTCTTGAACATTTTCTCCTGATTTTGCGCTTATTTCAAAAAATGTACCATCCAGATCCTAAACAACAAAATTTTCGTTTATTAAACAAATAAATCATAACTGTTAGTTTGATAGCACTTTATCACTATAAATAAGTAACTGTTAATTAATTACTTAGTGGTAACCTTTTTGACTGTAAAACGTAATGATTTGTGTTTAAGTCCTATAGGTAGAATCAGTTCCCTGGTTACTGCAAATATGCACTAATGACTAGTGCTGACTAGCATAGAGCCAAAGTTAAGCAACCGATTTCTACTCCAACTATCTAACAAAACTACTATAAAATGTACCCAAAAGGAACAGTTTTAAGTTATTCACCTACGCACTGAACTGATTTTCCTGTGTATTTTTCAACTTTAAACTGCGACATTAAGTTTCGTGTAGAAAACAGACGAACGGTAATTACAAACTTTAGTCGTATTCTGCTATTCAATATTCATCTACTACACTGAAACTTTTGTCAAAACTTCGTCAAACCCGTGTACTATGTTTTAAGATCGATAATTTCCTCCCCTCCATGAGTAAGAAATTATAAATGCAAAATGTTTTTTCATCGGAAACGGGATTTTGGGATATTATAGTAATTTAATAGTTATGTTCATGAGTCAATCGAAGCTAGACCACCATGAAAAACCTGGAAGCACTGGAAGGCCGTTTCATCCTATTGTGGGACTCCTCAGAAGTGCGCATCCACGATCTTGCCTCGTGGGATTCGAACCCAGGACCTATCAGTCTCGAGCGCGAGCGATTGATCACTAGACCACTCAGTCGGCATCCAACGGTATTGATGTCTAACTTCAACCAGTGTTTTGACCTATTTCATCCTACTTCTTATGTGGACCATAAGTGTGTTTGCAAAATTCCCAAACTTTCTTGTGATAACATATAATATTTTATCGACTGTTCTTTGAGGTTAATTAGGACTATCCTATTTGGTAGTGAAATTTTTTGAAAATGTGTTAGAAATTACATTTTAAATTATCCAACTCTGAAAAGAAACCAGTTAAGATAAACACTTAAAATAATTAGTACAATTATTTTATTCTTGTTAGCGTTTGTTTTAGCAACGATAGAATAACGTAATTGTACTAATTATTTTAAGAGTTTACAAAAGAACAACATTCGTACAGTTGAAGAACTCAAAACAACTGTCAACCAATATCAAAGTCATAATCTTCAATACGAACGTCATGACAGTTGGTTTTATTGTACAAAGCTGAAACGTGAACAACTACCACAACCATCATCAAAAAGTTACAAGTATCTATAAACAACTGTATACACGAAATACTCAGTATCCGTTGGCCGGATACCATCAGCAACAGCCTTCTGTGGGAGAGGACAAACCTACTTCCAGCTGAAGAGAAAATCAGGAAAAGATTTTGGGAGTAGATAGAACATACATTACGGAAATCATAAAAATGCATCATGAGTCAAGGGCTAACTTGGAATCCTGAAGAGAAATGAAAATTTGGAAGGCCAAAAAACACACTACACCGACATCGGTAGCAAACATGAAAAAGATGAATAGCAACTGGAAAGAACTGGAAACGATTGTCCAGGACAGAGTTAGATGGAGAATATTGGTGGGTGGCCTATGCTCCTTCACGAAGTTTATCAGACATCAATAAGTAAGTGAGTACAATAACGTCCTGAATTAAAGGTTCTCGATTTTCTAGAGGTCAGATTCACAGTGATCAAACATTGTTTTTGTTGAGATAAGATGGTGGTTATAGGTGATCAACCGGAAACCCTAGACACGGGTTTCGTGCTATTTGGCACTCGTCAGCAAGGTGTACCTGTAATCTTGAGGGAACTGGTGCTCCTTGACGGATTCAATTCCATGTCACTCAGCTTCACAGTCAGAGACGTTACCACTGAACTATTCGGGCCGCGACTGACCTCCTGTAGGATTGAGATGTAATCATAATTGATTGATGAAACTATTCAAACACAATAATAATCATATCAATTAAACAACAAAGGAACTTACATTAACAAAATCTATTATACGTTTATCAGGTACTTTATTCAGTAGTATATTTGATTGTGTTGGCAATAAATCAATTTTATTACCTAATACCATATAAATTGGTTTACGAATAAGTTGATTTTGATTCTCTTTAGTTGTATAATAATATTTTTCTAATTCAAATAAAGTTTCTTTTGACCATATATCAAAAATCAATATTATTCCATCAGATTTTTCATAAAAAGTACGACATGTTTTATGACCAATATAATCATGAAGATTTAAACTATCAGTTGATTTAATGGGGGTATCCATATTGAAAAACCAAAACAAAAAAAAGTGGAAAATGAAAAGAAAAAAAAGAGAAGAATGTAGCGACATTATTTGGTCAAGTTTTCGTAAGTGATTATTAAAGAAACTTGTAAAAAAAATAACTTTTAAAAATTGATATGTCAGTAGGCATAGCAACTAACTAAGTAAGATGAAAAAAAGAATTTTCATAATTGAAATCGTGAGTCAATTGAAGCTAGACCATCATGGAAAACTTGAAAGCACTGGACGACCGTTTCGTCATATTGTGGGACTCTTCAGCAGTGCGCATCCACAATCCCGCCTCATGAAATTCGAACGCAGGACATATTGGTCTCGCGCTCGAGCACTTAATCAAAAGACCACTAAGCTAGCCGGCATCCAACGGTGTTAATATCTAACTTCAATCAATCAACGAAATTGAGTAACCGTCCGCCATTGTCTTCACTGAGTTACCATCTCACAACAGACCTGTTCGAACTTCACTGGTCACGTCTTCTCACTAGAACTCCAGAAAATACTTCTTGAAGCCAGTCACTAGTGAGCACAATGATGATTATTATAAGAAGGGGTGGTCTAGCTTCAATTGACTCATGATTTCAGATATGAAAATACTGAAATCTCCATAAAGCCTCTTCTGGAAAACGAATTCTCAACAAGTTAATTTATTATAAACATAACGATTTGAATACATTTTTCATTATACAGGCATATTTCAGATATTAATGTTTCACAATTTACTGTCAAAGATGTAATGTTGCTAATAATCACAATAGGAGTAGAGGTATTCCCCGAAAGTGTCTTTGAATCATCTTGTGAATTAAGTTTTCGTGAGAACTTGGTAATTGTCTATAGATTGTTATGTTTATTAAAGGGTGATTGAATCGAATATCTGGTGTAAAGGAGCTTTCTCTCTCTCTCTCTCTCTCTCTCTCTATATATATATATATATATATATATATATATATATATATATATATATATATATTTGTTACCAGTCAAAAATAAAACAAAATTATCATTTTTATCAATTATCTTTTTTATAACAGTTATCCGCCTGTAAACTTTTGTATGGTTCCAAGATCGATGTTCCCCTAATCATCTCCATATAAGATGTGGATTCCAAATTATAACCATAGGAGTTATTTAGCAGAGATGGATAGTGGCTAGCAGTGGAATCCAGTTTGACGCGCGTTTCGTCCAATTTGGGACTCGTCAGCTGGATGTACCTGCATCTCAGAGTTGATGTTCACTCTGGGACTCGAACCCAGTACCCTCGCTTCAAACGCCATCGCGTTATCCACTCGGCCACTGATTCCTGATAGCTAGTTGCTTGTGCGATGGGGTGAAGTTTAAATTCAACTTAGAGACTGACCAGTTGCAGTCCTAACAAATCGATGGGAAGATTCAAACAAACAATACTAAGTTGAATTTATAGGAGTTATTTGTTTAACAACTCCTCAGGAATGTACATTTACATTATCACAGATGATTGAAATCGCATCTTCAAGACTATCTAGGCGCAAGACACTGAAATAACTGAGCTAGCACTCGATATTTCACAATTTCAATAGTCTAAAATCATATATATTCATTTTGGAATCTTAATTCCCTCTTAATGTTTTGGATACAGATTCCTGTAAAGTGTCTATCTAGGTAAAAACAACCGTGAGGTGATTATTGGCTTTCATTGGTTTCTACCTTAAATTAGTTTGCGACCTTCTGATTCTTGATACGTTGATGTATCTTAGCATGAATCTGTTTTTTTACCATAAAACTGTGTCTCTAAAAATCAGTCAAATTCATCTTACTTCTTAGATCGTCAGCGCAGGTTACTTAAATCAATAGTATGAATATGAATTAGTCTTCTGTAAACTTTAAGACTTTAATCAGACAGAAACACGTTTTAAACAGTGAGCGAAAATACTCATATGAATACTACATTAAAAAAAATCAAATATTTATAGATTTGTGGACACTGTAGAGTTTTTACTGTTAAAATCATGAATTGATCTTAACTAGACGACAGTTGTTTGATGTAAGACAGTTATCTACCATAGGCTATGAATGAGGATTGTTCAGCATCATCAACTGACTAAAGCTAGACATTAACAATGTTGAATTCTAGCTCAATGCTCTAGAGGTTAGTCATTTACGCGCAAGATTATAGGTTCTGAGTTCGAAAACCGGATGTAGGTCCATGGATCCACACTACTGACAATTCCTATATTACAATGAAACGGCTGTCTATTCCTTCCAGGTTTTTTTAATGGTTTGTCTAACTTTGATCGGTTCATAATTTAAACTGTGTAAATGAAAAATATATATTAACTTACAAATTAATAGTAGGAGGTTTCATAAATTGAATTAAATAATTTACATTATCTAATTTATGTTGATAAATTGCAATTTTTATTTCATAAGATGATGATGATATTGTCAGGTTATTTTTCTTTTCATCTAAATCCAAAGGTTGATTCGAATTATTTGATGATAGCCTATTCAATAGAGCTTGTTTACCAACACCAAAACTGCCAATCAATAATACTTTGAATATTAATGATTTTGAATCATTCAACTAATGAAATGTCAAGTTTGTATTAGAATAAAAGAAAATCAGGGGGAAAAAAGTTTTTCAAATGTTTTCAATGTAATAAAAAAGAAACTAGAAAAACATTATGACTGATTTTGGGGGTTGATGTAATACAGACTGTTTGTATGGTCCTATGTGAAAAGACAGGCTTTCAAAATAATGGCAGAAAATCAACTTTGAGATGCAGGTACATTCAGTTGACGAGTCCCAAATACGGTGAAACGCGTATCCTGGAGTCCACTGCTAGCCATTATCCATCTTTGCTAATAAAGATAAGTGTTTTCAAACTTATGATTTTTGTCCGTAGATATTAAATGAAAGCGCTTTTCATGGAAAAGCACTAACGATCTTTCACTGTTAAATTGATAATAATGGTAACCTGACTGAAGGTAATTTCAAAGTTACTGTGAAGAGTTTTCTTTTACATTTTTAGATTTTTCAATCGACAAGATGGAATGAGTCGAAAAGGGGACATTATTGAATAAACCGCTCTTGTATAACTCCAGTTTTCGTACATTTTCACTGTGATTTACTTCTGAAAGCTATTCAGAATTTTAGAGTGGAAGATAACAATATGAATTGCGGTTGTCTTTTGTTATTCCATTCACATTATCTTTTCTTCTAGATTTCGGTACTAAAATATGAACGGTCACCATGTAAAAAGTAAATTTCAAATCATTGAAAAAAGAGGTTTCTAGAGATTGTTTAATTTGAAACTTTTCAGGAATACATACAAGTTACTCTCTAGAAAATCGAATATTGGACTTTCTGTACTCCTAAGGGAATTAGTTTACTTTAGATTATCAATCACAAATATACTTCAGTATTTATCAACTAAATTTTTATTGTATAGCCACAAAATTAAGTAACTTAACACATCTGTTTTGTGTCTGCTTTTCGGAAAAGAAAAGGATTTTATTTGTGATCGTATTAATTTTTTTCAAATAATGATCGTTAAAAGTGACTGGCTTCAAGAGATTTATCCTGGAGTTCTAGTGAGAAGCAGTGACCAGTGGAGTTCAAACCACGTCTGTTGTGAGATATTGACTCACTGAAGACAATTGGTGAATGATTGCTCAATTTTGTTGATTGGTTGAAGTTAGACATTAACACCGTTGGATACCGACCGGCTCAGTGGTCTAGTGGTTAAGGGCTCGCGCGCGAGACTGATAGGTCCTGGGTCCAAATCCCGCTAGGTGGGATCGTGGATGCGTACTTCTGAGGAGTCTCATAATAGGACGAAACGGCCGTCCGGTGTTTCCAGGTTTTCCATGGTGGTCTAGCTTCAATTGTTTCATGATCTCAACCATATAAAAATGCAAATGTGTGAAAAAAGAAAACGTCATGTATAACTCTTACTTCAAATGATCTTTTACTGTTATTGTCCAAAGTATCTTCCGCATTCTTCCTATAATATATAATGACTTTTAAACATCTCAATAGAATTTGTAAAGTATATCAATGGGTAGATATGTTTTTATAATACAAAATAGGCGAACATAATAAACAGATTTGCCACTAGATGTTTTTGAATTTTTAAGTATGGTAATATCCTCACAGGATGTATATAAACCAGAAAGAGACTGATCAATTGCACCACTAAACACTAAGGAAAAGATTCAGATAACTAACAAAAATGAATTAAACTTCATCTTATTGCAAAAACCCGTGTATATCTGGATTTAATAACTAGGTGGATAACGCAATAGCATGTGTAGAGGATTGTACTGGGTTCGGATCGTATGCCCACACACGTACACATACGACATGAACAGTTAGTATTCTGTTGTAAGAAAAAATGAACAGATTATTTATCTATAAAGTTTTATATTGATTTTCTTTACTATTGATAAATCTAGTAATTGAACGCTAGATTCAGTTCCCAAGCTCTTCTTGTAACCCCCAGGATAAATCTACACAGCGACTTGAACACGAGAGAAAAGGCGCGAAATATGGAAGAAACGCTTAAATCCAAAGTTCTTTCTTGTACAGAAAATCTAGGGTTTTTATTTTTTTTAGATGGCCTTGGTTTTCCGGAAAATTCTGGAACGATACTAAACCTAGTAGTAGTACTAATATAGGTAATCATTCAATCAGAAACTCAACATGTGACCTTCTACTTTCTAGATGTTTTTGGGAAAACTTCTAGTGAATGCTGTTTGGATAGGATGTTTCTCAGCGTTTTCAGAGCCTTTTTGGGTTTTCTTTGAGTTTTTCTGGATCTCTTCAACACTTTAACCCAATAGATGATATGTTTTTATTTACACTTACATCCAATTGACCATCAGTAATGGACAAATAAACTTCAGAAATTCCGGTGTAATAAATCACTGTACAATTCATTTTAATAGTCTAAATGAAATGCGGGGTTGAATTGGATAGAGCCAATACAGGATTATTTGACTTTGTTATCGGTAGATAACTTATATGTACAATTTTATTATTCAGAAACTAACATTAGTATCTATCTAAACAACTATAGAAGACAACAGACCAAAAATAACACTATCTGATATATTTGATCCTGAAATAATGTAATATCATTTTGGCTCCATTTAAAAAATTATGCAACAATACTGCAAGTATTAAAAAACAGTATAAGAACTTTGGTCTAAATTTTATCGAATCGTTTCACAGTATTTGGCTAACGAGTTGATGCAAGACATTAAAGAGGAAGAATTTCTTTAGAAAATCTCAGCGAATTAATCTGAAGTAATTCTAATGTTGATTGGTTGACCTATTCAATATACAGTGAATCGGAAAACCATGTACCTACTTATATACGATAATTTTGATGTTTGATTATATTTCCTTGAAAAATCTTGGACCAGATTGTCAGGCGATACGTTGGATTTCCTTCAAATTCATTCGCTAAGATTTTACAAATACATTTTGATGTTTTATACCAAACAATTTTAAACAAACAAATTTTAAAAATGCGCTGGTACGGCCGAGAGTGAGGAGAGTCCGCTCTGCCATGGAAGTCCTACTCACTGTCTACTCGTGGCTGTGTTGTTTACGAAATTCAGAGGACAAAAAGCAAATGTTCGTCGCTTTAACCGGGTTGGTGGACACGGCGAGTCCATCTAGGGGAGTTGGAAAACCCTGATTCCAAATCAATGGTGCACATGGGCTCCAGTATCCTGATGGAACAAATGGCGTATAAATCAATCATTGGTCACCGGCTACTATGGGACTGTATCCCCCTACAATGCTCCACTGCCTTGTGGATCAGATCTTTAGGTCAAAGGCTCTGGGTGTGGTCCCCTGAGAAAACCACCTGCTTCAGTTTGAGCACCCGGACAGTATCACAGCCCTCACATAAACCAAATGAGATTTATGCGGCGCATATGTATCTGATGCCCCTTTGCACCAATATTTATGTGTTTAAATAAATAAATAAACATACTTGTAACTAGTTATTTCTTGTGGATGCATTTCTTCACTTTCTTCATCTTTTGAATCTTCATGTCTGATAGGTAATTTGTTAAAATATGTTCGTTTTAATAATTCTTCCTCATTCTTATTTTCATTAACATGAAAAGCTTCTGAACTTAATATTCTTTCGTAATCGGTCGAATCTTTATTATTAGATGTTTCATCTTTTAGATCTCGAAGACAACGATTAATTTCCCTACAATTCGTTATCAAAAATAAAACAGATCATAATAAAAGATTAAAGATGAATCATTCTACAGATGGAAAGCTTCTAAGAACTATATGTAATTAATATAAGTAGTATATTAACAAAATAACTAAAACCTTATAGGATCATATTATTTTATTCAAGCTTAGTAAAAGTGATTATTGAAATACGGCTTTTAAAGGATTCCGTATCCCTATTGAGTCATCATTCTACTGACCGACAATATCACTAATTGTCCTCTTCTTATTAAAATCTCAGTTTCAGTCAATTTTATATGTATTCTGAATGGTTTGTATATATATATATATAAATATATATGGCGTTAGTTAAGTTAAACTAATGTACATCTCAGCCAATACAATAATCCATATTTCTTGAATAACTTTCACTGTCAGTCACTATACATGTTTCATGAACTCTTATAACGTCTAACTGAAGTGTAATAATAATGCTCAAAAGACCCTTAAGCGTACAAGCATCAATGGGAAGATTCAAACCAACAATACTAAATGAATTTAAACTTCACCCCATCGCACAAGCAACTAGCTATCAGGAATCAGTGGCCGAGTGGATAACGCGATAGTGTTTGAAGCGAAAGTTACTGGGTTCGAGTCCAATAGTGAACATTAACTCTGAGATGTAGATACATCCAGCTGACGAGTCCCAAATAGGACGAAACGCGCGTCAAACTGGATTCCACTGCTAACCACTGTCCATCTTTGCTTAACATGCTTGTGAATTTAGGCTATATCGAGGCAATACGCACAGTATGCTCATATGCCAATAAGAGACTGACCAGTCGCAGTCCTAAAACATCAATGGGAAGATTCAAACAAGTAACACTAAGTGAACCATACTCTTTATGTTATATTACTCAATGATCATTCATCTATTAAGCGTATTTAATGTCTTGTAGATTTACAAGTGTTCAAAAGACAATTCATATCAAGGAATCTCCAAAACATACACCAATTAGCACAATCTTCACCGGCAAAATATCTTCTTCTTATCTTCCTAAAATCGATTAGTACTTCATGTCAGACGTTTAAATTCCATTGACCTGACTAATCATATCCATTTTGAGTGAAACTAAAATTTTGTGTTTAAACCATACTATTTATCTTATCAACTGAATACATGTTTCATTGACATGATTTCTTAAAACGTTGAGCTTTTAGATTCATTTAGTATTGTTTGTTTGAATCTTCCCATCGATGTGTTAGGACTGCAACTAGTCAGTCTCTAATTGGCATATGTGCATACTGTGCGTATTGCCTCAATATGGCCTTACTTCACAAGCATTGTAAGCAAAGATGGATAGTGGCTAGCAGTAGAATCCAGGACGGGCGTTTCGTCCTATTTGGGATTCGTCAGCTGGTTGTATCTGCATCTCAAAGTTGATGTTCATTCTGGGATTCAAACACAGTACCGTTCGCTTCAAACTCTATCACGTTATTCACTCAGCTACCGAGTCCTGATAGCCACTTGCTTGTGCGATGGGGTGAAGTTTAAATTCATTTAGTATTGTTTGTTTGAATCTTCCCATCGATGTGTTAGGACTGCAACTGGTCAGTCTCTAATTGGCATATGTGCATACTGTGCGTGTTGCCTCGATACGGCCTTACTTCACAAGCATTGTAAGCAAAGATGGATAGTGGCTAGCAGTAGAATCCAGGACGGGCGTTTCGTCCTATTTGGGACTCGCCGATTAGAGACTGACCAGTTGCAGTCCTAACACATCGATGGGAAGATTCAAACAAACAATACTAAATGAATTTAAACTTCACCCCATTCCACAAGCAAGCGGCTATCAGGACTCGGTAGCTGAGTGGATAACGCGATGGCGTTTGAAGTGAAAGGCATTCGGTTCGAGCCCCAGAATGAACATCAACTTTGAGATGCGGATACATCCAGCTGACGAGTCCGAAATAAGACGAAACGCCCGTCCTGGATTCTACTGCTAGCTACTATCCATCTTTTCTTACGATGGTTGATCTTTCAGGTTAATGTTTTCAAATGTTTCTACTAAAATAATCATTCTTCTTATTCTCATTGGATATTTAAGAAACGAGGAAAATTTTACAATTCTCATTTGTTTGATAATCGTTACAACATATTTGTTTCCATATGAGGTGATATGTCTTTCAGTTAATCATTAATAAGTCTACGGTTATTATTCAGTTCAATAGATTGTAAATATTAGCTTGATTTGAAGAATGTTCTTATTATTGATGGCAAATTTTAAATGAATACTGATCAGAGCTGTCTAGTATTCTGTAGATTTCAATAGTTCCACTGTTACCATCGATCTTTTCTTAAATATTCCTTTGACAAGAAACTGTTCAGAACTATGTGATCGTCGCAGAAACAAATAGAATCAAATGACCCAATAACAGTAGAGGATAAACAACCATCATCCTCTATTAATATAAACTCGGCTTTCGTGGTGTTGTATGAAAGTGTAAAGGGGCGTCTACTATGGCTTATTGAAGCCTTAGCCATACGAAAATTTAAAACCCTTTATGTATTCAAAAACAGTTTGTTCTCTCCTTAAACCTACCCTGGTAATATTAGCTTATTATCCAGCGTCATTAGGTTTCAAATCATCTTCACATTATTATTATTATCATTATTATTTTTTTTCATAGTTGAAAGTGTGAGTCAATTGAAGCTAGACCACCATGGAAAACCTGGAAGCACTGGACGGCAGTTTCGTCCTATTATGAAACTCCTCAAAAGTGCGCATCCACGATCCCTCATTCGCGGGATTCGAACCCCGGACCTACCAGTCTCGTGCGCGAGCCCTTAACCTCTAGACCACTGAGCCGGTCGGTATCCAACGGTGTTAATGTCTAACTTCAACCAATCCACGAAGTTGAGCAACCGTTCACCAATTGTCTTCAGTGAGTTGATATCTCACGACCGACGTGGTTTGAACTCCACTGGTCACTGCTTCTTACTAGAACCCCTGGATGTACTTCTCCAAGTCAGTCACTATTGAGCATATGATTATATTAATTATCAGAAGGGGTTTTGTGGTGATTGACTAACGCTTTCAACTATGAAAATACTAAATCTCCACAAAACCCCTTCTGATAATTATTATTATTGTTATAGTTATTATAATTATCCTTGTCTCCTCTTACTCCCCATTTCCAGTCTAGTTAATTTTTTGTTTTTTATATATAAAATGTTCTTAACAAGTATATGTGTGATCAGATTGTTCGAAACGTATTGCGCTGATGTATATCACATAGCTCTGATAATATTCGTCTTGGTATTACACTATCGAAATTTATCAAAGGGACTAATTGCTTTAAATAAACTAATCTCCACAATCTACCCAAATAAATAAAAAGTGGTAATAATTCAGTCACCAGAGCAACGAGCAACTAATCATTGGTAAGCGTTACTGTCGTTTCACTATAATGATTGAAATAACTACTTTACAGATTATTTAATAATTCTCCGTAAAATATGAATAATGTGACATATATTACACCGCATATAAGTCATATATTTATTTATCTGGTTTAAAACACTCTTCTGATTAAAGCTAACGCGGTACTATTTCGGTTGCCTATTCAGTGGTCTAATGTCTAAGCGTTCACTACGGAACTGAAGGCTAATGGTTCGATCTTTGATGGGATCATGGGTGAGTATTGCTGAGAAGTCCCTTAGTAGGACGGCACAACTGTACAATGTTCCCTCGTATTCAATGGTAATACAACTAATTCCGTGATATAAACTGTTAGGATTTAACAATCTCCATCACCACCCCGTCGGTACTTTCTTGATTGTTTAACTATCATTATGACATATTCTTTCTATTTTATCTCGATCGACGTTCAGACATTTTCCCGCTTGAAGTGTAAATCCATTTTTTCCTAGTGTATTTCATCCTTCAATAGATTAATTGATTTTCAGATAGATGATATTGCCATTTCTGTGAACATTATAACCATGTAATTTGGTTAGATGAATTGCCATTTTCTTTTTTTCTTTAACAGAATATTGTAATTTTTAAAAAAATTATAACCTTACCTTAATTCTAAGCAAAGATGAATAAGATGAAAATAAGGTTATATCGAAGCAATATGCACAGTATGCACATATGCCAGTAAGAGACTGACCAGTTTCAGTCCTAAACATCAATGGGAAGATTCAAACAAATACTAAGGGAACTTACCTTAATTCATTTAACTTTTTCATCAATATTTCACGTTCTTCTTGAATTTTATGACATGCTGTGACATCTGCTTTTTCTTTTTTTATACTTTCAGTTTTCTTCATTGTTTGTAATTCTTTTACATCTTCTTTACTTTCATCAATTAGTTGCTAATGTGAAAAAAAGAACGGAAATCATTCAATCAGCCTGCCAGGTTTATACAAGTGGAACTTGGCACATATGTACATTGGTTCAGGTTAACAAGTTATGGATATAACAGATGGTTTAAAATATTTCTCTCTCTTAGTGGTATACTACGATAATACGTGAACAAGATAATGATGATAGTTACGTCAAGGATTCATGACTCAGAGTAGAAACTTATTTAACCCAGTTACAAGCAGTCACACTCAGTGAGTCTGGAGTAGAAATCAATAACAGGAAAGGGAATCACATATTTAATAGTTCGAAGGCTGCGTCATTTTATCCAAGCTCAATGACCAATTGCATTTCACTTTCACTATCATACATCAGTTACATAAACACAGCGAGTTGAATTTATCACGATGAAATCCAGAGTGGTAGAAGTAATTACAGTATCAGGAGTAGTAGACAATTTTTCAGCCATAAATGATATGGTTCAAGAAAAGAGAAAAAGTTTGTATAGTTTTAAAAAGTATAGTGCAATTTTGAAAATCAAAATATCTATCATAAGAAAAGTAGTGAATCCATCTTCACCATTATGACCGATTCTGATTATCGTTATTCAAGTATCGAACTACTGATTGAAATAACTCTACGGACCCCAACCATGTAATCTGCACCAGGTTGACTGAATAATCGCTTGAAACTAAACATCATTAGTGGTCTACGTTTTATCACATCATAAACATTTAATATCTGTATTATAATAACTCGTGCAATGCAACCGCTGATTACGAACTATATTCTGATAGAATGACAAAATTAAAGATAATAATAACCTATTGTAAGCAAAGATGGATAGTAGCTAGCAGTGGAATCCAGTTTGACGCGCGTTTCGTCCTATTTGGGATTCGTCAGTTGGATGTATCTGCATCTCAGAGTTGATGTTCACTCTGGTTACTCGAACCCAGTACCTTTCGCTTCAAATGCTATCGCGTTATCCACTCAGCTTCTGAGTCCTGGTAATAACCTATAACTCATACTGGACATGTACCAAAATTATTCACTAGATTTGAATAATCTGAGAGTAACTGTCTACTGTGGAAATTCCGACAGATGAAATGAAAAACACAAATCTGGTAAAAAAAAATAATTAAGGTTGAAAATGCAAAAGCGTGGTAAGAAATTACACTCAAAATTGTAGCACACACCTACAAAATGAACAAAAAGAGATAAACGAATGTTTGGGGTACGTCACCCTTAGTGGGCAATAAAATCATTGAGGCTAACCTCAACCAGAATGTATTGGTTAAAAAAAAGCTAAATAACCATGCACATATTACACATAAGATTTAGGTGTTATTATTTATCGATTCTTAGTTTAGTCCCAACTTGTAATAAACCAATTCTTCACAAATGATCTACTTCCTATATGTTGCTTACTTCAGTATAAATATATATATTCCATCAATTTAATGTATAGAGGTAAATTTAATTTTCTTACATTGTTTATCATCTAAGTTGACCTTGACATTTAAATAAAGGTTAATACTTCATTAATTTATTTAAACAAACCTGATGAATTGTAAATGTTGGTATTATCTGTTAAATATCTCCCGTTACAATAAGTTATAAGCTCTAATATTGGTTTAACTTCATATATCATTTTAGCATAATATTTTTTATATTAATTAACTGTCAAGACAAATATATTTTTATATCCTCAATCAATTCAAACAAACAATACTAATTGAATTTAAATTTCACCCCATTCCACAAGCAAGCGGCTATCAGGACTCAGTAGCTGAGTGGATAACGCGATAACGTTTGAAGCGAAAGGTACTGGGTTCGAGTAATCAGAGTGAACATCAACTCTGAGATGTAGGTACATCCAGCTGACAAATCCCAAATAGGACGAAACGCGCGTCCTGGATTCCACTACTAGTCACTACCCATCCTCAATCAATACTTTTTTTAGAAACATTCGTAAGATCGCTAGGAATACTACATTCGAGTAATACCCAATACTTTGTATTTTGAATCTTGACCAATCTAGCATTGAATATTTACAGCTGCGTGCCACATATAACACTTCTGTCTGGTTAATGTTGAATAAATTCCAGAGAAATCTTGGTTTCAATTTATGAGGATCAATAATTATTTAACTGTCTAAAGGTGAATAAAATAAGATAGTGGAGAAGATTTGTAGCTCAGGTGGATATTGAATTTTTCTACCATTATGACAGAGATAACATCTCTAAGCATGATCTATTATTGAATTTATATGGTTTTATAAATCGAATATTGAAAGATCTATGAGACAGATCCATGATAAAAGTAAATTGCGTTATCAAGAGTTCCAGTCTATTCGTTTCTGACGATGTAATTAACTAAATTGTGCACCCACTACCAATTGTTGAATAAGGCCCTGGTGTATGATGAATATTTAACGTTCTCTTTAGATAAATTGTAAAAATTAACAATCATCCGTTATGAATTGTTAATTACGACGAGGATGTTATACTTCTGTTTACTATTATTACTGGTACCAATACTCCGTCACTGTAATGGAGAATTCTATGATTTCATGAATGACTTCTTATTTTCGAGGTGAAAAAAAGAATACAGGTTGATAAATGGAATTGTGCGATGTGAAATGATTGAGTGGTAGCCATTCTAAAGACTGGATTATTAGTGTAAGTCATGGAATGATTTCAGATCAAAAACAAGAGCGCTTGCCTGAAGAACATGTTTCAATAATGTATGAAGTGTAACATCATCCAGATTATCAGCATTCTGAAAATTTCAGTTTCCATGTGTCCAACAATAAGGTTTAAGGCCCTGGCACTTGGACCATTCAATTTGTCAAAATCCCAATTTGAATTGATCTCTAACAAATATTGACTTTCTTCTGCCTCTTCTGTCTCCTATAAGTTCGAAATTTAGCCTTCCCAGAGTTTTAACACACATCGCATTCGTCACTACTTAATGATCACTCAACTACGAATTTCTCTATAGTTAGGAATATAATGAACTGTAAATTTACAATACTTCACGGTTTAATAATTCTTGTTACCTTATAAAGTTCTTTAATTTCCGAAAAAAATAAGAGAAATAGCAAATCAACTATAAAACCTAATCACTCGTAAATATGGTATCCCATACTTTTCATGTAAATAGAAGAGAATTTGGAACAAAGTAGTGGACTACTGTTTGATAATTCCTACCAGAAATTAAAAGTTTCACATTTTGTTTTATATATTCGAGGTATCCAGTCTGTCTGTTGCACTTTTCAGTGCTATAAGATGGTGGTTGAAGATAGTCAACAGGAAACCCTGGACCTAGGTTTCGTACTAATTGGAACTCATCAGCAAGGTGTACCTGTAATCTTGAGGGAACTGGTTCTCCCTGACGGACTAGATCTCGATCAATCAACTGTAAACTTTTCAGTGTTTATAGATACTTTGTGGATTTTCTATTCCTCGTAAGCACTCCAATTTCTGATATAAAAACCTAGTAACTAGCATTGTTTTGAAGGAAACATTATTTTTTAGTCAATCAAAATTTTAGAAACACTTGATATGTTATCGAATGACAAACTTACAGCAAAGTGAAGTTACACAGTAGAGAATGAGAATGAAATTTATTTAGTACAGATCTAATGATAAATACTGACATCTTGAAAGAATACCAATAATATCAAATTAAGTGCCTGTGAATGCAATGAAGATAACTGTGCTTCAAAAATAAATATTTAAAAGGATGAAACAAGTAGTCAGTACGAATTCCAAGACTTAGTTTCCGCCTCAACAATTCTTCAGTGATGATATCATCTAATATTAGTTTCAGATATTATATTAGTTATTGACAAAAATTATTGTATGTTTCTTAATATGGGCTTATGTATTCAGAAGATGTAGTGGCACTCATTCTCAACCCACAGGAATGATTTCTTTTAAATAATTGTTATATATAGTGATTTGGTATACCTGCATATATCTATGTGAATTAATGATTATAGCTTTTAATGCGGAGATAGATAACATACATAATGAACTTAGTTAGATCTAAACAGAATTGATATAAGTACAAATGAAAAATGTATAAGACGTTTTTGCTTGTTTTAAAAATGTGTTACACAGAAATTTTCTTACTTCACATTCTTCAATTTCATCGAGAATACTTTGACATTGTGTTTTTGCCTTTTCCATAATACATTTATCATCTTCTGTTTCTTTTTGTAAGTCATCTGTTAAAATGGATATCTGTAAAATAAAACAGTGTTGTTGGATGACATTTGAATTAACTTATATGTTTGTGGTGTGTGCTACTGATGTCGAAAGATACAAGCAGTATGTATCATCAGCCGAAAGTGAAATACCTGGCAGCAGAAGGTTAAAAATATCGAAGGAAAGAGAATGAGAACAGTGATTGATTATTGTGGAAATGAAGGAACACTGAAGCCTGTGATGACTGATTGACATTTTCAAAAGTAATAGTCAAGTTTGTGACAATTAATTGACTCTCTGCAAATTAAGTATTTACTGTATGGTTCTCAGATTTTACTAAGACGTTCTGCAATTTTGTATTCAAATTCGATTTTCCTCACTTGTATTCTCGTTCATTACATGTTCAGTGAAAACATTGCATCGAGTTTTTTGTTTAAATGCGACTTCATTTTGCTTACAAATGATTTTCGGTTTCATTTGTTTTACTTAACTGCTGAGGAGTCCCACACTAGGGCGAAACGTCCGTCCAGTGCTTCCAGGTTTTCCATGGTAGTCTAGCTTCAATTGACTCATGAACTCAAGTAGTAAATTACCATAATATCCATTAAACCTCTTTCTGATAAAAATTTAATCGTTCATACAGATTTCTGACAAGCAAGTTATTATCATTTCTCTAGTTTACTAAGCTTTAAGTATAGGTATCAATGGGGTCGGGGGTTGAACAGAAATTAGACTAGAACGCTTAACAAATCTCGCAGTTACTCACAGTTGTTAAAGGATTTACAAATATATACCTGCTGATCAAATTCAAGGACACGTTTTAAGTCCATATGTCAATTGAGATTAATTGCTTTTGATTTTTTTTAAAAAAGTCAGTAACAGCAAAATGTAATGTCCTACAACTAAATCACTCTTAAAGTTAACATATGTAGGAGAGTACTTAAAATGTTCCATTTTTGTTTTCCAAAGTCGAAAGCTAACTCAATTCATATACTACTATATAAGATCTAAAGACGCTGATGTCCGATAACTCAAAGATATCAACAACGAAATCTTTAGTAAAAGCATCAATATCATTTGTTATGTCAAACAAACAGTTAATAACACGCGTTATTTGCTACCATCACGTAGGGGTTTGTGTTATGTATATGTTATGAAATGAAATAAACCATTATTTAGATACAGTATTATTGGCTTCTTACGATTTCTGTCATAGAAACAGTGGGTGGAAACAAAATAGGGATTGATGAAGAACACTACAGTTCCATTGTTACTAACTGATATCAATATCATCATTTGATATCTTATAAACTTTAAACAGTCTTTACTCACCCCGGAATAGTTTAATATTTTTCTATCCATAATGGATCATTTATGAAACGTTAACATAACGAAATTATCTTAGTTTACCAGTTACTAGTAATTTTCAATCTTAGTAAAGTTAGAATTATATTTCATGAAATTTCAGGTGATCTAGCATTTTATTCTGTATAGAGTAAATATCTTCATATTCAGTAGGGTTTTTTTGAAACAATTAATTTAAATCAGAAAGGGTTTTGTAGAGATACTAGTAATTTTATAGTTGAATTTATGAGTAAATTGAAGCTAGACCACCAGGGAAAATCTGGGAGCACTGATCGGCCGTTTCGTCCTAGCATGAGACTCCTCAGCACCCATTATCCCGCCTTGCGAAATTTGAACGCAGGAACTATCATTCTCGCGCGCGAGTGCTTAACTACTAGACAACTGGGCCGGCTCCCAATGGTGTTAATGTCTAACTTCAACCGATACATGAAATCGAGCAACCGTCCACCATTGTCTTCAGCGAGCTACTATCTCACAACAGATCTGGTTGAACTCCACTGGTCACTGCTTCTCACTAGAAATCAAGGAAATACCTCATGGAGCCAGTCACTAGTGAGCATATGTTTATTATCAGAAGGCGGTTTTCATGGAGATTTTAGTAATTTTAAATCAATAATACTGTAAATCATTTTCTTCATTATTATGACCTTAGTTATCTCCCGTGAAAAAGAAGTACACATTAGTTATCAGTGGTTTCATTCAATACTACTTTCAATAATTACTTTTTTTTGGTAATTTCAACTAAGACCTATTTCATAGTGAGTTTGTTCACCTAAAATTCTCTTCATAATCTGGAGTTTCTCCTCAGAAGTGTTAAAGATATATTTTTTTTTCATAGTTGAAATCATGAGTCAATTGAAGCTAGACCACCATGGAAAACCTGAAGACAATTGATGAACGGTTGCTCAATTTCGTGGATTGGTTGAAATTAGACATTAACACCACCGGCTCGGTGGTCTATCGGTTAGGCGCTCTGACGCGAGACTGGTAGGTCCGAGGTTCGAATCTCTCGAGAGCGGGTTCGTGGATGCGCACTGCTGAGGAGTCCCATAATAGGACGAAACGGCCGTCCAGTGCTTCCGGGCTTTCCATGATGGTCTAGCTTCAATTGACTCATGAATTCACCCATGAAAATACTGAAATCTCCACAAAACCCATTCTGAATATATATATATACATATGCAGAATACTTGTTTTAACTTTTCTTTTAAAATTTCAGTTTGTTCTTCTTTCTCTTCAATAATTTGATTGGTATTATTTTTCAGTTCTTCACATTTTTTTTCTAACTGAAATGTAAAATAGAATGCACGCACACACACACAACATAATCGATCAATAAATCAACAAAAATTATTTGTTAATGGTTAGCTAATTAATTGAAGCTTAACAATTTTGTATCCAATGATAAAACATATTGGCTAAATTTATCCGGATTTTTAAGTGTTAGTATAGTTCACTAGGAATGAAATTTAAAATCCACAAATATAACGTATGTTAATGAGTGTCCAGCACAACCCTGTTTTGGATATTAGAAGTAATAAGTAACAATATTTATTTTTATTTATTTATTTAAACACATAAATATTGGTACAAAGGGGCTCCAGATAAATATGCGCCACACAAATTGTATTTGATTTATGTAAGGGCTGTGATATTACCCGGGTGCTCGAACTGAAGCAGGTGGTTTTCTTCGTGGGCCACACCCAGAGCCTTTGACCTAAAGATCTGATCCACAAGGCAGTGGAAGAGCAACGTCAGGAGGTTCAGTCCCATGGTAGCCGGTGACTAATAATTGGTTTATACGCCATTTGTTACCTCAGGATCCTGGAGCTCATGTTCACCATTGATTTGGAATCAGGGTTTTCCAACTCCCCTAGGAGGACTTTCCGCATCCACCGCTCCGGTTAAGGCGACGAATATTCGCTTTTCGTCCTCTCAGTTTCGCAAACAACTCCGCCACAAGGAGACATTGAGTAGGACTTCCCTGTCAGAGGCTATATACGCGTGACCATTTGAGAGCATTTGGAGAGGGAGAGCGGACTCTCTCCACTCTCGGTCGTACGAGGGCGTTTAGGGCAATAAGTAACAAACTTAATGTGAATATGAGCACCAAGTGTTAGGTATGTTGAAATAGAATTAGACATCGGTTCTGTATACCACCGCTAGACACATACCAAATATCCGATAACTGATAAACTTTGTAAATTTACTATTTCTGTTAATATTTGGTGATAAAGACTAGTAACAACTATTATTATTATTATTATTATTATTAACGGCTTTATTCTATATCACGACTAAACAGAAGTTGTGATAGATGAAACTAAACCGTGTCATATGGGAGACAGTTACCCAATGGAATGGGATCGCACAGTGCCGTGGATTGTTTAAAAAGAATTTTTTATTGTAATATAATACAACAGTGATTAGGGCTTTAATGAGGCAATCCTTATCTTTATATTATTGACTAGAAAATACTCAACTCGATATAATTCAAACAGAGTTCTGTGTTTTACAATAGAAAATTATGAATTATTATAAATTATTGTATAACTTTTGATCATTACTTTTCGACTTTTGTTAAAAAGAACGGTAATATAACAGTTTATCAAAAAAATAAGTATACTGTCAAGAATCGAACGCTTAACTTCTAGATTACTCAGATTGAATGTCCTGGGTTTGAATCTTGAGTGCGGGATTCTGGGTGCATGCTCCTGAGGAGTCCCATATCAGGACGAAACGGTCATCCAGTGCTTCCAGGTTTTCAATGGTGGTCTAACATTGATCGATTCATGATCTCAATCAGAACTCAGCAAGATTGCTGAATTTTATAGTTTACATTACAAATGAGCTTTAGTCAGACAACTAGTGTAAATTAGTAAGCACTGGATAGTTGCTTCGTCCCACAGTTGGAGTCCTCAATGGTGGGGGTCCACAATCTCACTACAAATAAAACCAAATACCTGCAAACCTCCAGTATCTCAGTGAGCATTTAATATTCAGCTCAATAAACTGGGTACCATTGGTTATGAAATGGATGCAGAGTACTGTAGTTAAAATTATAAACCATTGGATACCGTCCCCGATTTGTTCCCCGGTTAGGTAGTAGATACCTAATGCAGAGGAGTACCACACTGAGATGAAACAACTCACCAGTACTTCCCACTTACTAACTGATATTAACTAACTAACTTCTATAGGGAAATAAAACGACTCGTACTGTAACAATGTGTGTAGCTTATTGTTTTATGACACTACCTACAAAAACGCTCCCTTAATTCATCAAAAGGAAACTTTAACATCATACTAGAAGACTTACCCTTTGTCTCATTAATTCTTCTTCCTGAATAAGTTTGGAATCAGTTTCATTGTATAAATTTTCTAAAGTTTGATTGAATTTTTCTGAAGAACTTGGTTTATAAGTATTAGGATAAAATTAATAAACAGTCGTATAACTACTTCATTTAATTACGTGTCAATATATAATTATTAATATGTCTTGAAGATATATCAAAGAAGACCTACAAATTTTAGTGAATAGCATCTAAGGTAAATTTAAACATTTAATTTTTTCGTTTCAAGCGTCAGGTAACCTGGATGTCCTTCTATAACTCCCAGGGAAAATCTCTTTTCATTTAAGAATGGTAAAATTAGACAAAACTATGGTGACCTGTTTGAACATCTGAGCTACCTGTTCCTGCTATCTAGATATTTCAACATCATTATGGCTATTAATCGCATAATCTATTCACGTGCGTTTCTGAAGATTATACAACCTTTAGTTGTACAAGTTAAGAAAGGCCCAATCAGCGATATCATAGTTACTAGCAATATGTAGCAAAAAGAATGTACATTATTTAGATGTCGATCGACTGGACTTCTAACTCCTAACTGACGACCACTCAACATTTATCGTCAGGATCGACGAAGAACTAAGAAACAGAAACTTTTTGAAATACATTGTAATTAGAATTCTATATTGTACCGAAAAGAAAATATTGAATAAACCTAATAATAATAATAACTAGGTCACTGAGATTTTGTTACAAAGCTGAAACCATTACAAATCATAAATGGTTCTCTTAAGTCGATCCAAAGTTTCAGTCCAAACACTATCTTAAGTCTCGTACATGTGTGTGGAAATTTAGATAATTGACAATGACCATTATACATTTTATTTATATAAAATAAATAATTCTTTATCTATTTAGCGCTTTAGAAAGATTTGGAAGTAATACTCTACGTTTAATAAAATTCGAATATGACACTGCATGAAAAGCCTTTGAATAGTTTCAGTTATTAAGTAGTATATTTAGGTGTAATAGTAGAAAAGTTTATAACAGTAATTTGAATTGTAAGTTTACACTAGTCAGCTATTGAAAAGCAATCAATCTCATTTCTGTGTTGTATCATGCTAACTTGGTTTATTTTGATTAGATTAATGATGTCATTAACTACATGGAATCACTTCTGCTAAGCTTTACACATGATGTATTGACAAGAATGAAACAACTAATATGAATCGTAAAAACAATTATATAATCACCTAAAGGAAATTACGTAATGAAACTTGTTCCTGAGATGACAACAAGCTGAGGAAAACATTCCTGTTGATCACATTTATATGGAATCTTGTTTATGCACTGATCCTTTTTGCTGAGATCAATTTTTATTTCATGTAATCAACAAGAGTAAATGACACGTATACAGATCACTTTGACGATAAGATTTTCAGAACAGCTATTGGATCTTATCTTTCAAAAGTGTAACTTCATCTTCGGGCTACTATTATTCCTGATCATCGAAATCTACTTCATTCAACAAAATGAATCCAGAAATATTTAGGATCCAGTGGTTTTATGAACGAATAAAGCATATTTGAGTAAATTTACCAATAGGCCTCTACATCCTTGATTTGCAAAACTTTGCTTAGATTCTCTTAAATAAAGGGAGTTGATTTAAAAGTATATTTGAGTTCACATCGACTAGTATCAGTTTTACTTTCATGCACTAAAACCTAAGTACATCTCGTTCCATCTGATAATAAACACCTTTTAAGTAGTTACGTCTGTTTAGTTAATTGATTAGAAAGATTACCCGATAACTTTGCTAAGGCAGTGTTTTTTATGATAGAGATCTTATAATTTATCTTCGCTATGAGTTCTGTACAGTTCAAATTAGTAGTTATACTCTTAAGTGCGAAACCGGAGGTCCTGGGTTTGAATCCCACAAGGCAAGATCGTAGATTAGCACCTCCGAAGTGTCTCATACTAGGACGAAACGGCCTTCCAGTGCTTCCAGGTTTTCAATGGTGGTCTAACATTGATCGATTTATGATCTCAATCAAAAAGTTTTTATTTCATATTACAATTTAACTCACATGACATTTCCAATATCTCACCACATTATAATCAACTAAGAATATCAAGAAATCTTTACTGTCTTCAAATTAGTTAATAGTACTTCAGTCAGCTATCATATATATCCTCACCGTAACAATATGATATGATGTTCTTCCTACTTCTATAAACTAATAAAAAGCTAGTAGCTATGTGAACTCAATGGCTCACTAGATAACAAGTTGGATGTTTGAGGAAAAAGGTATTGAGTTCGAATCTTATTATTAATATCAACTTAAATCCAGCTGATGTGTTCTAAATAGAACAAGACAAGTGTCCTGGACTCCCCTGCTATCCGACATCCAACTTCAATCAGAGCTTGCAACTAAATGACAATATCAAGTCAGAAGGGGTTTTGTGGAGATCTAGTATTTTCATAGTTGAAAGCATCAGTCAATTGAAGCTAGACCACCAGGGAAAACCTGGAAGCACTGAACGGCCGTTTTGTCCTATTATGGGACTCCTCAACAGTGCGCATCCACTATCCCTCACTCGCGAGATTCGAACCCAGAACCTGCCAGTCTCGCGCCAGAGCACTTAACCAATAGACCACTGAGCCGGTATCCAACGGTGTTATTGTCTAACTTCAACTGATCCGCGAGACTGGTAGTGCTGGTTTCGAATCTCGCGAGTGCAGGATCGTGGATGCGCACTGCCAATGAGTCCCACAATAGGACGAATCGGCCGTTCAGTGCTTCCAGGTTTTCCATGATGGTCTAGCTTCAATTGACCCACGCTTTCATCTATGAAAATATCAAGTCAATCTGCACAGGAGACAAATTAATTTCCGATATTCAAAGATACACCAACATTGAGATCTCAGAAAATTATATATATATATATATATTATATGAGTGATTAAAATATTTCACAACAACCTCATGAATGATTTTTCCATACTATCCATTGTTTCTTGTTTTTCTTGAATATCATTGACTGCCATTTCTATAACTTGATTTAAATTAGGATAGATTGAAACATGATGCACACGAAATGCTTGAAGAAATGAACTGAAACGAAAAAATTAAAAGACAAATACTTGTGAAACAAAATCAAAAGGTTGGATGTTTAAAGAATAAGCCGGAAATGATATCATATTGAGTTTGAGGTTCTTTAGTAGATACTAGTAATATAATAATGCAAATAGTGAATATGTATCACAGATTTGAATTATAGGTTTCAGTAATTGCCAGTGTTTAAATCTGCATCATCTAGTTCTGGAAATTAAGTTATATATATATAATTTGTTTGGTTTGACTGAGAGAAGTGATTTAAAGTAAAACGGACCACTGAACACCTGTTTTGACTCTATTTAAGATGCCTCAGAAATATGTATTCATAAGTGAATGCGAAGTCATGAACTAGGACGAAATTTATATTCACTGTCTCTGTGGTTACAAGTGGTTCCTTAAAAGTCACAGCTCCATGATGAAAATAAATATTTTATAAACAAATATTGTAAAAATTCTATAAGCAATAAGCAACGATGGATGGTAGCTAACTGTTGAACTGCAGAATGTGTATTTTGTCCTGCTTGGGACACGTCAGCCAGATGTATCTGTATCTCAGAGTACCGTTCGCTTCAAACGTCGTCCCATTATCCACTTAGCTACTGAATCCAGATAACCACTAACTTGTGCAATGTAGTGAAGTTTAAATTCATTTTGTATTGTTTGTTTGATACCTCCCATTGATGTTTTAGGACCACAAGTGATCAGTCACTGGCTACCATACCGAAATTATTCATAGGTATGGACTTTTAAAGTTACAACTCTACAGTATCTTTGATGCTTTGTTATACATTTACTACGGATACTGATGATATAAAAAATTTTATTCCCATATCCATAAAATATGATCGAGCTCTTTAATAAATGAATGAACAAAACTTTGGAAAAAGTAACTAAATAAACTGGGTGCACGGTCTACATTGGAGTTCATCAGACGTTGATCACTCATCTGTGACGTTAATCTGCCTTCTTCTTAAGTCATTTGATAATCAATAGATTATCATTATTAAAGACATGCTATAAAACTAAAAATGTCTCTAAACTGAATGAAGCTTAATATTTGTTGATGTTACCTTCAAATTACTTTTAATTTTGCTGAAAGAAGTAGACAAACTACCAATCTATGAATTAGCATACCTCAGTACCTAAGAATTGTATTCAAACAATAATTTAAGTTAACAGAACTTATCTGTGGAATCGCTATTACTGGCATTATATGCAATCAGAAGTGTATATATTTCAACTTCAAATTTGTAGAACACATTAGTGAAGCTGTAAGGATGATAAGTGATTTACCTGGCAAATTAGTTGCCTGGTAATAATTGAAGTATGATATCAACTCTAAACTCTTCACTTCAATGTTTCACTCACCCAGTTTGATATTAATTTAATTAGTAATAACAATGTATCACTCATTTTCATAATTTTCCATCATTCAACTTATAGGAGCTAAATATTATTCATGACTGATGTACTGAAAATATTCTACAACCATTCTGCAATGAACTAATTAACTCTTCAAGCTTCGATCATATCTGGTATAAATATCGTAGTGTCAGTTTCTATTTTAAGCCCATATTACTTATTCTGGCTTCCGAACAAGCCAATTTATTCATTCTTGTTGAGTTACATTTCGACCTTGTCAATTATTTGCTTATCAACTTTTACTATTTTTATATGAGTTTATGTGTGTGCACTTCTTATCGTATTCATTATATATCTGTAACTAATATTTTTCTTTGGCTATAAAATGTCGATTAACGGTCGATTAAATGGAGTTGGTTCATACGCCTTCTCCACTGCGTTTCATTTCGCTTCGCTCTATTCTCTTCACTTCCTTTGCTTCGTCCCGCTGATTGTCTGTCCAGATCAATGATTGTACAGAATATACCTATTTAATTTAGTTATTCACTAACGCGAGTTAAGTCAATAATTATATACGAGGGTAGAAAAGGATGTGCATATTTCGAAAACTCCATCGCAATCATCATACAATCCAAATGGAGTCAGATATAAGGACACCAAAATATCCTTTTGCTATCAATACTACACATAAAATGGATTGAAGTCATCATAATTTATTCTTGTATAGTGTGGAGTGGTCTACTTATATCCTCATAAGTAGTATATGGTAATGGTTAGACGTAGAATGTATTTTGGCAGAAGACCGACAAGGAAAGAACTGAAATGAAGCACAATTGATAGAAAAATGCATAAACAATGAAATTAGAAAAGATGGATTGATATTTACAGAAGTAACAGTGAAGATTGAGGCAATTGATTGTAATTTCGCAAATTAACTGTTCATTGTACGGTTATCAGATCTTAGTAAGATAGTTTGTAATTTGTGTCTAGATACATTCGATTGTACCCAACTAGTGTTCTTGTTCACTACAATAGAATTGATCATCTTTATTCCTCTATAGTATTTTAGTAATTTAATTTTATTCACCTTAATTAGTTTATTTATCGTTGTCAATATTGTTACTACCTGGTTACAAATAAAATTACTCTTTTTAAATTTCTAACGTTTTCTATAAAAATTTGTCATCCGTTGATTATTATTATTTTTTTGATTATTGAACATTGAATAAAATACTCTCAGTTAGATTTTCTAATGTTTAAAAGTATTTAACTTTAGGAAATAAGGAGGGGAGGGGAGGAAAGAGGAGGGGAGAGGAGGGGAGGGGGAACAGAGAGAAATAAAAATAAATTGAACAATTAATTTTAATCTTTTTCTGACATAATGCGAAATAGTTTTTTTTAAAATAAAAAATAAAAAAATGTAATATTGATGACAGAATTGACAATTTTTACTTAGATACATATATATATACATATTGTCAATGGAGTTTCTATGTTATTAGGGTAAATCTGTGATTGTTGTAGCATAAAAACTTTTTGAGTACTTTTTTTGTTTTGTTTTTTTGTTTTTTTTGTTTTTTTTTCATTTTCAATGTTTCATACATAAAAATACTTACTGTGTCATTAATTTCAAAGTTAAAATTTTTGTTTCTAAATCAATAAGTAGACTAATCTTTTTTATATAGTGAAGTATATAAAAATTTGGTTATCCATAAATTAGAATAATAAGAGAAAAAGATATTCATTGAAATTAGTATAGTTTATTACCGAATAGAACAAACAATTGGCAAGCCCTAACCTGGGACCGGAGTCAGACAAGGCTGTCTACTCTCTCCCTTACTCTTTCTCCTGGTGATTGGCTGGATTATGAAGACTTCGACATTTGAGGGGAAACACGGAATATAATGGATATCTCAGAATCAATTAGATGATTTGGACTTTGCAGATGACCTAGCTCTCCTATCTCATATACAAGAACAAATACAGACGATGACAGAGGATGTAACAGCAGCCTCGGCATCAATAGGCCTCAATATGCACAAAGGAAAAAGCAAGATTCTCAAATACAACATGGAGAACACCAACCCAATCACACTTGTTGGCGAAACTCTGGAAGAGATGGAATCATTCACGTACCTGGGAAGCATTATTGATAAACAAGAAGGATTTGATTGATGCAGATGTAAAGGTGAGGATTGGCAAAACAATGACAGTATTCCTACAACTGAAGGACATATGAAACTCAAAACAACTGTCAACTAACTTCAAAGTCAGAATCTTCAATACGAACGTCAAGACAGTCCTACTGTACGGAGCTGAAACGTGGAGAACTACTAAAACCATCGCCAAGATGGTACAAGTATTTATAAACAGTTGTTTATGCAAAATACTAAACATTCACTGGCCGGATACCATCAGCAACAGTGTTTTATGGAAGAGTACAAACCAGCTTCTAGTTGAAGAGGAAATTAGGAAAATTCGTTGGAAATGGATAGTACATACATTGAGGAAATCACCAAACTGCATCACGAGGCAGTCCATAAATTGAAATCCGGAAGGGAATCGCAAAAGACGAAGACCAAACAACACATTACACCGGGAAAATACAATCAGATATGAAGAGGTCGAATAACAACTGGAAAGGATTGGAAAGGATTGCCCAGGACAGGGTTGGATGGAGAATACTGGTGTGCGGCCTATGCTCCTCGACGAGGGGTAACAGGCGTAAGTAAGTTAGTAAGAACAAGCAATTCATAAGAAGGAGAAATTAAAAATCTACTATATATGTAATCGATACGAAATGAGAAACAATCACAATTAGACTAGAATTTATGGATGATCTTTGGATGACGTTACAATGACCTTGAGAATGTTCACCTACTCACGAGGACTAAATGAGGATTATAAACCAATGTGCGGAATAAGACTTATGATTTACAGTTAATGTTTAGAGTTATCATTTAGATTTAGGGTTTTCACTATGAACTGACACCAGTTTTAATGCCCAAACTCCGTTTAGCCAAATGGATGAGTGAATTTCATTCCCAAATCTGAGACCTCTTATCTTATATCTGATTGGTTCGCTCATAAATTATAGTTTCACTATAGTCACTTAAATAACATATCTTGTTCCTTTAATCTTTAGTTTCAATTAGTTTTTTTTTAATAAAACTTTTCTGGTCATATTGTAGTCAACAGAACACGGTTGGGGACAATCGAATGTATTTGACAGGAAAATTACAGACTATTTCAATAAAATCTGACAACCATACAGTAAACAGTTAATTTACAAACTATTAATCAATTGTCTCAATCTTCATTGTTCCTTCTGCAAATATCAGTCCATCTTCTCTGATTTCATTGTTCATGCATTTTCATAGAAATCGCGCTTCGTTTCCTTTCTTTCCCTATCGGTCTTCTACCAAAATACATTCTACGTCTAACCATCACCATATACTACTTATGTGGATATAAGTAACCCACAATGCAATATGAACTGAGTTCACTGATGATAATTTTTTTATTATTTTCATATTACAGAATATCATAACATTGTTTGGTAAGGATCATCTTGTCATAAAATATTCCTATTAAATAATTGCTGAGAATATCATACAACTATTCCAGGAAATTTCATGACCTTTTACGATCTTCAACGTAAATAATAGTCGGTTTGAAGATATCGATTAAGTAATTTACATAACTGTCTACCATCACCTAACTATATGACAAAACTAGTAACTTGAATTCCTGACAGTCATTCATACTGTTTGATAGACACTTATGATTGTGCATGATGTAATTGAAAATTAATTCAATCATTCAATCTTCGAATCATTTAACACAAGATATAATAAAATCGTCAGTTATATTAATTTTCATATTTCTTTAACTCTAGGTAACTTTATGGTAATTTCTACTTAAAAGCAAAGATGAACAGTGACTAGCAGTGGAATCCAGGACGCAATTTTCGTCCTATTTGGGACTCGTCAGCTGGATGTACCTGCATCTCAGAGTTGATGTTCACTCTGAGACTCAAACACATTACCTTTCGCTTCAAACGCCATGGCGTTATACACTCAGCTATTGAGTTCTGATAGCCATTTGCTTGTGCAAAGGGGTAAGGTTTGAATTCACTTGGTATTGTTTGTTTGATTTCTGGGACTGCAATTGATCAGTCTTAATGGGAAGATTCAAACAAATAATACCAAGTGAATTCAAATTTTTACTTAGGTTATGCAATTTAGAGGTTACAAGAACATCGGTTTACATAAAATTTACTCTACTAGTATACCAAATTTAATGACTTAAGCTAATCATGTATTGTTTTGAATAGTGTATATTGAATTTTAGGAAAGACTGTAATTTATGGACGAACTAATCAGATTTAGGATTTTAGAGCGAAATTCATTCATCCATTTAGTTAAAGAGCGTTTAAGAATTTTAGCTGACATCAGTTCATGATGAAAACTCTAAATGTAATTCTTAACCCTAACCATCAACTATAAATCATAATCCTTATTCTTCACACAGGTTTAGAACTCTCATTTAGCCCTAGTAAGTAAGTGGAAATTCTCAAGGCCACCTTAGCATCCTCCCAAGATCATCCATTCACTGAATTACCTAGTTTTTTTAAAGTATAGTTCATAAGAGTGTCTTTATAGATATAAAACGACTTTGACGTGGGTTTGTTCTCTGAGCTGGATGGTTTGGTCGTGGAGCTTTCATCGTCCTTCTGAACGACATCATCAGCACAAACTTCGGGTAGAAGTGAATTTCTGATGATGTCGTTCAAAAGGACGATGAAAGCTTTACGACCAAACCATCCAGCTCAGAGAACAAACCCACGTCAAAATCACCCACCTGAGCTACAAATCTTTTCCACCATATAAAACGACTGTTTTAATTTTGGCAATCATAGTTACATTTTAGTAAAGCTACTACTAATCTAGTGCAAAAAACAATCGAAATATTCCTTCATTATATTAGTTTTGATGAATATAGTTTTAACATCAGTTTCATATGTGTTATTTACAAGTACGATGATTTATTAGTCATTCAGAATTTCATATTACTTTTGGTCATTTTTAAAGGTTTGTATCCCTTAATTGAGAATATTCCAAATTGAATCAGTTTGGTTACTGTAAGCATATGGACTATGATAACTGAGTAATCTATGTGATAACTGACTGATGGTTGAATATTGTGTTTGAATCCCTATGTAAACATCAATATATTAGGAAACAGGTATGTATGGTTTAGTGGTTCTTAACATGATGAACTTCACTATAAAACACTATCTATAAAAACTTAATTTGAAGTTCATCGTGTTAAAAACCACTAAACCATACATACCTGTTTTCTAATATATTAAGATTTACACAGGGATTCAAACACAATATTCAAACATCAGTCAGTTATCACATAGGTTACTGAGTCATCATAGTCCATATACTTACAGTCAAATTAAGTTCTTATAGATAGTCTTACAGTGAAGTATAATATTTAGATAATTTGCATTGTTTTGACTTAATCATCTACTGGTTGAATTGATTCATAAATATCTGAAGGAACTAGGTTTAATGCATTCAAACTACAAATCTTTAAAGTATTTAATGAAATCTAACTTACACAACTGGTCATTACAAACTAAATTGAGATAAAGCAGGCTCTACAAGTTCCTACCTCTCAGTCAGTATTTGAAAGGAACTTCTCAGCTTTGCTTTTCTACAGTTTATTTTTCTTAATAAAAGTAGTTAAAGGAAGAAAAAAACGTAGAAACAGATTATCCAACTAAATAGGATCATTATTCAAAGCTAAACTCTCTACTCTTACTATCAACATAGACGCTGATTGATTGAATATTATAGTGTGTTAAGATGTACTGATACAATAAGTATTAACTTTTATCTGTTGTAGTACCCTTGAAAAACAATATACTACTTTGCTTTAATTGGATTAATTTTCATAATCTTGAATATAATTAAGTTATTTTGAACGTCATAAAAAAGTTTCAATAATATAAGATACCTGGTAAGAAGATCATTCAAAGGTAAAGATGTAGTTCGAGGCTTATTTTTGTACAATGTAGTCGAGTCACTTATTTCAGAAGCTTTTCTTACTCGACTTATTCTTTTAGGTATCTCAGTTACACAATCGCCTTTGTTTGAATTATCCATTTGACTAAATCTTTCATTGATCAAATTTTCACCTTGTTCAAAATTGATGTAAAAAAAAGAAAAGATTTAACAAAAAAATATTAGTAGTGAATAAATTCAATGTGTAACTATGAAAAATACACGGAGAATGATTAGTTCAGTCAGTTAGTACAAACTTTGTATGTATCTACCTTGAAAGAAATAAGAAACCATAAATGAATTTGCATAGTTGAAAGCATGAGTCAATTGAAGCTAAACCACCAAGTAAAACCTGGAAGCACTGGGCGGCCGTTTCGTTCTATTGTGGGACTCCTCAGTAGTGCGCATTAAGACCATCGGATACCGGCCCAGTGGTTTATCGGTTGAGTGCTCCGGCGCGTGACTGGTAGATCCTGGGTTCGAATCTCGCGGGGCGAGGTCATGAATGCGCACTACTGAGAAGTCCCAAGATAGGACGAAACGGCCGTCCAGTGCCCCCAGGTTTTTCTTGGTGGTCTAGCTTCAATTGACTCATGCTTTCAACTATGCAAATATTAAATTTCAGCAAAAAAGCCCCTTCTGATCATAAATGAATTATTGTTTATTGTACAATGTCATCTCTTTCTAGAATAAAAGTAGACTGATTTACTCATAAAATAGATTACCATATTTGATTAATGATGAACCTTCATTTTGTCAATCGTCATTATAAAGTGAACGAGTGACACGGGGTCGAATCCGTCAGGGAATACCAGTCCCCTCTAGATTACAGGTACACCTTGCTGACGAGTGCCAAGTAGCATGAAACACGGGTCCAAGGTTTCCTGTTGACCATCTCCAACCACCATCTTATCTCAACATAGTGCATGCAGTGTCGAGCCACCTAGACTAGTGGCCACATTGCAAATTGATCGATAGCATTCGATCAGCACTAAGAAGGACTTCACACGCATGACATTGATCACCACCCAGTGATCAATCAATTGTGAAACGAGTTCAGTATATTAACTTCATAATCATAAAGTGAAAGTACATCGTTTTAAGATAATTGTCTGTTGTATATCAGGTTTCTCAACTTGTTTCAGGAATGTATAGGAAAGATATTAATTATCAGGAAGCGGATAAAATTATATATAAACTGTCAAATAATAGTTTTCAACTAATCTGATATCTGGAGAATAGTCAAAATGTAATCTTTTAACCTTTAATAAAGGAGATATTAATAAAAACAAAACTACAGATTAGTAAATTAATTAACAAGAATCATGTGGTAATAGTAAAACAACCATTGAAAACCAAGATGCACTGGACAAGTGTTTTATTCTATTATAGGATTGTTTGATCCCAAAAAGAATTAGGCTCGGAACGTTGAGGTCATGCGATGAGCGCTTAAACTTCAGGCAAATAAACCAACATCCATTTGTTTACACATATGAATTCTATCGGTTCACAGCACTTTTTAACCACATCCAAATTTCGTTGGTAGATAACTGTCCACATTGGACATACTTGAACTCTACTGGTCACAGCTTCCCAGTTTTCAATGTTTAACTGTATCTGTCTACTCAAAGTTAGTTCGTGTTTTAAGAAAAGAAACGCTTTGAAGTATTTCACAACTTTTTTTATACAAACGTTATGTTGTCTGTTAATAAGTCTAGTCTAGTTAATGAGTGTAATGAATGAGAACACAAGTTGGGACAATCGAATGTACTTAATTATAAAATTACAGAATCTTTTAATAAATTCTGAAAACCATATATAGTAAAACTTCAGACTTCAATGTAAAACGTGTATATATCTATACTACTCATAAGTAATATAGAATTATTGAATAATAAATGTATTATTTATTTCCATTTTATTGAGTTAAATGTAATTTCAAGTAATTTTAAATAGTTATCGCTTAAGTATAACAGACTATATAGTGGTGGCTATCTTCTAACATCTTAAAGATCCAAAAGAAAAAGATTCAAATGCAAATCACACATCCAAGAAACTCGAGCTAAAAAGTGTGGTGGAGAACTATCTGTATCTTATTACTATCATATTGTGCATTAAAAGATTTGGCGTGAGACTGGTAGGTCCTGGGTTCGAATCTCGCGAGTGCGGGATCGTGGGTGCGCACTGCTGAGGAGTCCCATGATAGGACGAAACGACCGTCCAATGCTTCCAGGTTTTCGACGGTGGTCTAGCTTCAATTGACTCATGATTTCAACTTTGAAATATACTGAAATCTCCACGAATCCCCTTCTGGATATTATTACCATAAACGTACATTGTATTGATGACAATATTCTATTTTAATCAAAGGAAACTAAGTACTAGAAGATGATCATTTTTATGAAATGAATCATACTTCAGTAAAACAATACAGTTATCTATAGACTTGTATAAGAAATGACATTTCTTCTCTTATAACTCATACATTTTAATGAAGTTTCAATAGAAATATTTCCGAATGTAGATGTGGTTCACAGAAGTACTCTACGTAAACAGGCCCCTCTCGCTTGATTTAGCCATCTGTTCAACCTTAGATTGACTTGTGAATTCACTTGTTAAAATACTAAAATATCCATAAATATCCATACTGATAATAATCATGAGCTTATTAGTAACCAGCTTCAAAATGGATTGCCTGGAGTTTTGGAGAGAAGTCATGTTTAGTGGAGCCCAACCCATATCAGACAATTGATGAAGAGTTGCATAAGATCAGTTGAATTTAGACATTAACACCATTGGATACTGGCTCAGTAGTTTGGAGGTTAAGCATACGAGCACAAAACCGAAGGTCCTATGTTTGATTCCCACGTGCGAGATCATGGATGCGCATTTCTGAGGAGTTTCACATTACGACGAAACAGTCATCTAGTGCTTCCAGGTTTTCAATGGTAGCTTAGTTTAGATTATCTCATGAATTCAATTGTTGTAATAGTTAATCATTTGTAATCAAATCGCAGCATGAAATGGAAATATATATCATTCGTTATAGACTATAATATAAGATCAGATATAGCGTTATCCTTAAATCTATATATGTCTATCAAGAAATAATAAAGTCTATTCATAGAAACTTCAAGAATATGCAGGACTTATAAACTAATCTGATTCTAATGTGTAATATTGTATAGAAAAATTACAGTGGATGAGCATACTATAAAATAGTACTATACTTATACAAGTAAAAATATAATTGAATAAACGGTTAGAATTTTAAATTAATTCAAAATCTCATTCTCAAAAATAATAACCACTTAAAGCTGAATGATAATACATGTCAGTTTATAGGAAAATAATTCATGAGTCGGTTAAAAGTAGACCATCATGGAAAACCTGGAAGAACTGGACATCGACTCTGTCCTAGTATGAAACTTCTCAGAAGTGTGCATCCACGATCTCGCACGCGGGACTCAAATGCAGGACTTTCAGCCTCGCGCGCAAACACTTAACTTCCAGATCATTGAGCCGGCATCCAATGGTGTTAATGTCTAACTTCAAACAGTCCACTATTGTCTTCCATGAGTTACTATCTCACAACAGACCTGGTTGAACTCCACTGGTCACTGCTTCTCACTCGAACTTCAGGAAATACCTCTTGAAGCCAGTCAATAGTGATCACATGATGACCATTATAAGAATTGGGTCTTTTTAGATATTGTAGTAATTTTTAATAGTTGAATTCATAAGTCGATTAAAACTGTATTACCAAGGAAAATCTACTATGAGACTCCTCAGCAGCTTAAATCAGCTCATGAAATCAACTATTAAAATAATTACAATCTCTACAAACTTCCATTCTGATAAAATTTGCGTTGACTGACTTAAAGTTAACTAATAAGTCCTTTTCATATTGAATATAAAGTATACTTTATTTATAAGCTTGGATCGATTGATATCATTTTGGATTTCTTTGTTTTTGAATATAGTATACAGCTTAATCAAAGACATACATTTCCTTCTATTTAAGGATTATTGAACATGTTCCATATATATCCATTTGATAAACTCCAAATATAGTTGAGATCATTCTTCAATTGAGGCTAGACCACCATGGAAAACCTGGAAGCACCGGATGGCTTTTTCGTCCTATTGTGGAACTCCTCAGCAGTGTGCATCCACGATCCCGCCTCGCGAGATTCGAACCCAGGACCTACCAGTCTCCAAATAGGATAATTCCTATTTCTGTTACCTATCTTTAACCAATCGAATTTCATCATATACACACATAATTTAAAAATATTTACATCAGAGATATTATTAAGTAACTTGGATAAACAAAAGACAAAACCACTACTTACCCATAAGATTTACAATCGACTGTTATATAAAAATGTTAACATTAAATTACACTTCTATTTCCTTATAGTAAAATGGGAAATTTCTCAATTTCTAATCAATTCCAATAGTCACATGTCAACAATTAATCCTTATTATTAACCAAATGAATGACATGTGAATAAAGAATTCAAAGTATAAACTTTATTCAATTGGTCAGTCCATTAACTCACTAACAAGCTTTTCCATAATCATAATCATTATTATACTACTTATTTTACATATAATCGATTAATATAATTTCTTTTAATTCTTTTCTATAATTCTACTAAGAATATAAAATATGTCTTTTTAAATGCCACATATATTACTTAAGCAATTTATAGTCTTATTTGAGCATTGTCAATTGGATAGACTGGAATCTCAGAGTTGATTTTTATTCCAGTACTCCAATTTAGTAATGTTCTCTTCAAACGCCGTCGCGTTATCCACTTAGCTACTGAATTTAGATGGCCAGTAACTTGTGCAATGGAATGAAGTTTAAATTCACTTAGTATTGTTTACTTAAATCTTCACATCGATTTTTAGGATTGTAATTGATCAATCTCTTATTGGCATATATGCATACCTGTGTGCACTGTTTCAATATTGCTTTAATTCACAAGCATCATAAGCAAAGATGGATAGTGGTTAAAAGTGGAATCCTGGAATGCGCGTTTCGTCCCATTTGGAAGTCGTCAGTTGGATGTACCTGAATCTCACATCTGATGTTCACTCCTAAACATCAATGGGAAGATTTAATTAATCAATATCAAATGAATTTAGATTAACAGTTAGATTATAAGAAATGAGACTGTTATAGAAATTTAATAAAACTGGGAATACACAACATACTACATTTATAGATGATTTTTAAAGGAATTGAGGTTGGTTATTCTTGTGTAAATATACACAATTACAGTAACATTAGAGAAAGTGAATAAAATACATACTCAGAAGACCATAAAGCTGAGAATTTTTACTCCAATAGTTAAAAATAACAAAGAACTTGATAGGGATGTTTATTATATTCATTTTACTATAAATCACTACTGAGGTGGAGACGTGGAGATCTATGAAAGCCATCATCCAGAAGATACAAGTATTTATTAACAACTGTCTACTCAAGATACTTCGGATCCGTTGGCCAGACACTATCATCAACAAGTTACTATGGAAGACAACAAACCAGATTCCAGTGGAGGAAGAAATCAAGAAGAAGCGCTGGAAGTGGATAGGACACATATTGAGGAAATCACTCAACTGCGTCACAAGGCAAGCTCTCACTTGGAATCCTGAAGGCCAATAGAGAAGAGGAAGACCAAAGAACACATTAGGCCGAGAAATAGAGACAGACATGAGAAGAATGAACAAAAACTGGAAAGAACTAGAAAGGAGGACCCAGGACAAAGTGGGTTGGAGAATGCTCTTCGACGGCCTATGTTCCATTGGGAGTAACAGGCGTAAGTAAAAAGTCAGTAAGTAACTTCAGTACATCAAGAATATGGTCATTAACAGTAGGAAAATCAACAAAGAAAGTAACTAATCAATAAAACAGAAACTAAACTGGAAAATAAAAATGAGATCAAAGATCAAAATGTTCAAAACTGTTAAAAAGATATTAAACTAAATGAATCTGTGAGATTGCTACTAACCCTTGTTCATTTAATTTATATTCTACAGTCACAACTTATGATGATCTTATGGACCCCCAGTGAAATTATCTACACTTACTAACATGTTATAAATATTCTTGATTTGTAACTCTAATGTTACTCATTCATTACCGAATGTTATCTTTTAAGTATGGGAATTTGTGGATATTGTAATACTTTCATTGTTGAGTCCACGAGTTGATCTAAACTAGACCACTAAGACGAAACGGCCGTCCAGTGCTTCTAGGTTTTCAAAGGTGGTTTTGCGTAGATCAACTTGTGAACTCAACTTTTAAGTAGACATTGATTGGAATAATCTATTTAAAACTGCTTCTGTAAAGCATAAATCAATATCAGACACATTCTCAAGACTAATAATATTCGTATTTATTGTTTAAATATATTAAACACTATTTATAGTAAAATGGCTGAAATCCGAAAGAGTAAAGTTGGACAGTAAAACCACTGTGGTAAGTGTACATCACACTTGGTCTACCTAAAATGCACGCCAACTAAACCATTAAGACTAATGTTATTATACGCAAAAACTCCCGCTAAGTCAATAAACTTTCAAGAGATGTTTGTTAAAAGAACTCATTATATGAAACAAATCTTTCTAAGTGGATTAAACGTTTCGGTGGAAGCGGGAAGGACTTTACAGATGATGTAAGACAAGGAAGATCATTTCCTTCCTGTTTTGACGAAAAACAAGGAACTTACCCTATCATGTGTGCCCTCATACCAAAGAAGCGCATTCTGGATCATTACTTGCAAACCAAACCTATGACAACAGATTGTGCATATAGTTCTATCAAAACATTTTGGATTTGGTAACGACTTAGCAGCTAAAGGCTAAGTTCAGGGGTAAGTTAAATAATAACGGAGGCGTGTCTTATGTGTTGCTAGAAATAAAAAAATTGGTAAACACTAGGATACTTTGTAATAGAGGATACAATAACTAGGCCTATCGTCCTGGTACGAGACTCCTCAGCATTGAGCATACACTAGATAGTCAGGGTGTTTCCAGTTCTTCCGGGTTTTCAATAGTCGTCTAACCAAATCTAATTCAGGATACAAACTACAACATAAATCAGGCACAGTTATAGGTTACGTCAACTCTTATCTCTTAAAACAATATTTTGCCGTCCATAATAAAAGTTATTATGGTAACCATTCTTAATTGTAAGGCACATAGACAGTTGTTCATATTTAAATTAACCGAAATTAATCATAAACTGTAACTTTTAACCCCAATGGAAAACTGATTACATTGCGATAATAATTACCAATTCTAATCTCCCTTCTTGATAAAGAATCCTATTTGAATAGAACCCTATAGTAATGGTGATAAATGTTGTAAACAAAGATCTACAGGATGAAAACGGAATGACATTTCTCCAGTGTTTAATGTTTATGTTTCTTTTCCTTTCAGAAAATTATCATTTATAAAGTTACCCTGTAATTTGTCTTTAAAACTTGTTGCTAGTATCTTATCTTCTTAAAGTGAATTTGTAATGGGTTACCATAAAATGTCTCCAAATATATGAAATTTAATAGACTACAGAAGAATAGCACCTTCATATATGTACTCTAATGATTCAAATCTGTTGTAAGAATAATTCCCATTAAAAATTATCTAAACAAAACTAAAATTTGTTGTTGTTGTTTTTTCTTACTTATATCTTCCCATTGTTATATTGGACTACAATTGATCAATCTCTTATTATTAACCATTATCTATCTCTGCTTATAAAACTACAATTTCTTTATTTATATTATTATGTAATACTTTCGATTTTTAATCAGGTTCAACCCAATAAACTACTACTGCACGCGGCAATCGAACCCAGAACCTTTGGTCTCACGTGAGGATATTTAATATCTAGACCATTGAGGTAAAATTCAACACCGTTAACTTCTAGCCTCAATCAATCCATGGCATTGCGCGACTATCTTCCATTGTCTTTGGGGGTAAACTTCTTCACACCCAGCACAGATTAGTTCCAATGGTCATGGATTCATACTACAACCCCCGAAATTTCCTCCCGAAGCTAGTCACTAGTGAGTACACGATAATTTTCAGTATGAGGAGACCGAGGGTCTTGGATTCAGGTCTGCTTGAGGGATCGTGGATGCACAGTGTTGAGGATTCTCATACTACAATAACACAACCGTATAGTTCTTCCAGGTGTCCAGTGGTGGTGTAACATAGATTGGTTCATGGTTCCAATGAGATACTCTTCCTTTTAGTTTACTTATTTCATACATAATTTCGTAAATATTACACAGATTTTATGTTCAATTGTCCTCATTATGGCGCATACTGAGCGTCATAGATACGAAGAATCCTACCCGTTAGCCACTCCTGTTCAACATGTATATTGTCTCAAGTTAATTTGAAACAGACACCTAATTAGTATTGAATAAAACCTAGTCATTTGACTTATTATCACAGATGTCAACAATGTACAATGGGGGATCCTGGTGGGTGGCCTATGCTCCTCCAAAAGGGGTGACAGGCGTAAGTAAGTAATTTTAACTAGAGATCGAAAACGACAATGTTTTCAAGAATACTTTCAATGAAGAATGCTGAGCATGACTTCTTTATGTTAAAAGAAAAGTCATAATCTTAGCATATAAAACTTATTCTAAGTGAAATTTACCAAATATTTCTTAAGAATTTTTGAAAAATCCCTATAAATAGACTATCCCCCAGATGTTCGAAATAGATACACGAGATAATAAATATAATATAATAAAAATAAAAATTGTCTACTAAATTCAAAGGATTACAGCATTTGTTGAAAGTGAAATTTTCATTGAACCTCTAGATAACTACTTCCTGATTAGTTGTAGAACAGAGGGCGAAACGAATATATTTCATACCATAAAAATGTTATTTTTTTGTTTCTATGCTCACCTTCATAATTGTCAGCCTTTTTGATGGTTTTCATTTCGCTCTTGCACCCTTGATTAGATATCTATCAAAATGCATAAGTGACATAGTAAATGAAGTTTGGTGCAAAAACATATCTTTACACAGTATATGTCGTAAAGGTATATTGGTTAATAAGTCGTAGACTAATTCTCGAGCCTTGGATAAAACTAAACATCATCATTTTAATTTATGTACCCAAAACCTTAAGCTTAAGTCAGAAAAATGAAAAGCTGGATTTATTTATTTTATTAGTGTTTCCTCAAATAAAATCTAAAAATAAACTATATGAGTGTAATTTTGGTGCTACATCACACAATTTTGATTCGCCACTTCAAATTTTATGCAAATGTTTATACTACTGACAAAATAGAAAGTAGGCACACAACGCATATAAATTACTATCCGGAGTTG